ATCAGAGATTCCTATAGTTAATCAAAACAGGAGACCACACACTGAAAACCATACCAAGCATTTCACCAGGGTTCCTAATGACTAAAGTTCACTAAACTACGAAGTGCATTCAGGGAGGTGGGGGCTGCCACCGCGAGTTTCTATGATCGCCCCATGTAGATAAGAAATTTGGCCAAGCTAGACTAAGAGCTGGTTTTGTGGAAAACAACTATGGCAGACTTCCATAAGCAGAAGACGTTTGTAAAGTTTTGTAAACGTGTTGCATACGTGTATTTCACATTCAAACATCAAAGGAAAAGTTCCAGCTGCCCTATATCTAAATTTTGGACATGTTAAGACATCAGGGATAAATATTACAATGGAAACCAGCAAGCGGGAACTCCAATACAAATTAGTGCCTATGTTTTAGAGGTAATTCACTGTGAGCCAGATTGCAGTCACCATGATGTTAAATATTTCACTTGAGCATTTTTTGGTGTGTAATGGTGTCATATCAACAGGATAAGCAGAAGTATTTCTGTAGTATTTCCAGACTCCATGATCATGGTAAGGGTTGCCTTTTTTGAACAGCTTTCTCACCCTTTTGTTTGCGCTTAACTGACAGAGTGTGGGGATACTTCTCACTAAGGTAGTTAACTAAGCACTGTGATTGGATGTCTTGTCACATGGGATAAAGTACACACCATCCCTCAAAGTTGAAGTCTTGACAGGAAAGTTAGTTTCAGAGTTCTTGTTGTGGAAAATTTTCTGTCAGATGTTTTTGAAAGTATAAAGAACTTAGTTATGAGCTGCTTTGTTCTAGAAAAAGACATATGGTAAACTAATTGCTGATGTTTTTATTGCAAGTGTGAGTAAGACCATGAGTGTTCACAAGAGAATTGTGGACATCTTGTGCCAGTTTTTTCAAGACTTGCTGAAATGACTTAACGACTGAACTCAGTGTCTGCAGAACAAAATTGTTGTATTGCCAGAGTGCAAAACTTGAGAAGCTGATGAAGATAAACCTCTTTCAGGACATTCATTCTGACGTGACGTTGTAGCCAAGCCAGATGAATTTCCTTCAATTCTTCGCAGCTGACAAATAGTTTAGTACATCAGGTTAATTATTCTTGTTTGCTCAAGGTAAAGGGCATTGACCCACAGATAAAGGTTTGTTCTCCTGTATTTCTAATTTCAGTAACGTGATTTTCCTTTCATAAAATGTAGCTTAATGTGAAGTGAAGGTGAAAGTGTCTGATACTGTATTAAAGCCTTATGTGATGATCTTATCTGTCAATAAATCTGGTTGTTTTTGATTAAGTGGAGTCATATTTCAGTGTGTTTCTTTTGTCTGCTAGAGGTTACATGTATTACTCTCAACATTGACATTGTGTTAACTTTCCTGAATTTTGTGATTTAATTTTATGATACCTGGATATCATAAATCATTTTATGATATTTATGATATCTGGATATGTTGACATTTTGACATGCCGTCAAGATTGCTGAGAAATCTCTCAGTTTCTCTGCGAGGTTTTTTGGCCTCCGAGGTTTTGATATCTTGATGAGAATCTCTGTGAGATTTCAAGATCTAGACAGCCAAAAACTCGCAGATTACTGATCATACTGGGATACTACATCTCTACATACACCATTTAAAACCATACATGTACCTCCTGGAGGTTCTTTACTGGACTCATCATCATGGTCTTCTTCAGGTATGGGGCTCCTGCTTTCCTCTATGGCCCTGAACTCTGTCCAAAATATGTCATATTCCAGTTGGTCTAGTGCATGACCACCATGTCCTTTTATACGTAATGCCATGAGCCCGATGATATTTCCAGCTGGAAGGAGAAATGAAAGGTTAGTAGTAAAAGTGCCCAGTATTCTGTAAATTTTATCCAGTGTTAAGCTGGAACTTGCAAGCTATGGATACCAAAGAATGTCAAATTATAACTCTGAGACTCAAAAGTGGTACAGTTAATATTTAACTGCATTTTCATGTTGTTTCAATTGCTGTTCGTATCGTTCACAAAGAGAACTTTGTGCAAATACTGGTGAGCTGCTCTTAGCTTTTTATTTAATTATATTTTAATTTACTTGACCATGTTTTGCAATTCTTAGTAACCATTGTTAATTTGACTTTAAGAAATAGACGGTTTTGTTTTTTATGACATAAAGCACAAAATTATTGGTTAGTTCTTCCACTTCTGCTTCCGACTCTGACAATCTAGTTTTCCCTAGATCATTGGCGATGGAGTCATAAAAAATGGAAACCTTCTGATTCTTGCGACTCCGATTCCGTCGAGCTTACAACTCTGCTTACAACTCTGATTTCCGATTTTCGCTAGGTCATAAGCTTTCTCACTACTCTGACTATGACTCCAACCTTTAAAAACTGTAGGAAAAATTGAGAAGCCATTAGAGCACGCACAGTTGATGTGTAAATCATGTGGGTATGCAATTGCAAGTATCTAATTACTAAAAGTTGTCATTGGATACCTGTGATTGGACACCCACATGATTGCACACCAACTACCTGACTCGTGGAGGTTTGGGAAAACTTGAAAAAGCTGTGGAAACATGTGCCTGTCGGCTCTTATTCCAACAGCATTTCTCCTTCTCTCAATATTCTATTGCGTGATAGCTGACTCGAGCTGTGCCCTCGTCAACTATTACGTATAGAAATCAAGAGCGAATAATCTAATTGTTTTAGTATAAATCTAATGCTCGTTCAAAACTTTATCTAAATCCTGTTCACAGATACTTTGAAAATGCCAAGAAGCGGCCATCATTTTGTTAGCAAGGGCACACTGCTACTCTACTCACTATCTACAACAGAATAGACAGTGAGTAGCAGAGCCATTCAGAGAACAGCATTTGTGATAGAATACTAGTAGATTTATACTAAAACTTGATAGAAACATGGTACATGTTTTTTGTTTTTTTTCTTAATTATAAGTGACTGGACCACGTGTTGTACCATTCAGGGGGTAATTGTGCTTGTAATTTCAACTCAGCCCTCTCTGAATGTTCATACAATTTTGAAATTGCTTACCCTGTTACGCCCTGAATTGTAACTCACATGCAGCACTTAAATGCATTAACAAACCAGCTTAAAGATAAGACTCTAACATAATGCAATGATGGTAAATATATTCCCACAGAAGTAAGCACTAGCCAGTAGACCTATATGTGATTATGTCACCTAAATGTTATTGCAGCATCTAGGTTGCTGCACAACTTGAAGTTAAACCAAATATTTCAATATTTCTGCCACAGGAGTTAAACTTGAGCTGAGATCTAGACAGAACAGCATGGATGAAGTAACTATCAATCGTTAATAAGTGCAACTGCATCGATAGAGGTAAACAATGAACAGTGAATAAACAAACAAAAAACCGACCATATTTCACAAAATTGTGCACCTGAACGATCTCGTCCACAGTAATAAGCAGTAATAAGCTTAAGCTTAAATGTTGAAATTATATAAGGTATGCTATTGGCTCATGTTATTAATAAAAGAAGGAACATTTTAAGACACGATTGACTAAAAATAACAAGGGAAAATAAGGACTTTCAGAAACAAGGTTGTCTAACACTTGTTGACATAAATTCGCCAACTTCTCCTGATAATGCCTTACCTAGTCACGTTTAATTTTCCTGTGATGACAACGTGATATTCACCCTCCTTTGTTGCAAGCTAACTTCAGCTCCATCTTCAAAGCAAAATGTTCCAAAAAATTGGGAAAAACCGACCAATAAGTTATGAATCATGTTCAACAATCGGGCAATTCGAATCACGTGACGAAGCGAAACAGAGAGAAAGCCTCTGGCCTCGATCCCAGGTTCTCTCCCCTAACCCCAAAAATACCCCAACACTTCCCCAACACTTCCCCAACACTTCCCCAACACTTCCCCAACACTTCCCAACACCTGTCTGTGGAAAATCGTCCAAAACTGGGAACTAAACACTTATTTACAACGGGAAACCAGAATTGCCCGACTTTCACTGATTCTTCAAATAGGTCAATTTCGATAAATTAAAATTCTAACTTACCTCAAAAGTTTTGGGAAACAAAACAAAAGCCTGACAAAAGAAATCACATCGAGGATGAGGAATGATTTGCATCGGAGCCAAGTTAGAATTTTAATATATCGAAATTGGCCTCTTGCAATATCAAATCTTACTTTTACAAGTACCAAACACAATGAAACAAATGTAGGAATCTTAAGCTGAGATGTTGCCTCGGTCAGTTCAGTACGTATCCTCTGCATCCGATTCCTTGTTGCTTGTCTCACCTTCGAAGTTCTCCACACGAAGACTCTTGATTTTCCAAATAGTGAGGTGTTCGTCTCAGCATCATAGTTTGTTGTTTAGTCAGTAATAATAGTTTATCCGTGTTTTCAGTCATAGTTTAAACTCATATATAGCTCATTTGTTATCTTTTGCGGCCATGCGCAGATATTCCGAAGTTGTTTAGAGTCAAAAGATAAGACTTTCTTCCAGATCTAGTATCGACAAGTAAGTGGTATGTGGTGCGGGGACCTCGTGGTTAGTGTGCTTGTCATATAGTTGTCTTCAGATTGAGTGTTTCGGATTTGAGCCTGGCCGGGGACATTGTGTTGTGTTCTTGGGCAAGACACTTTACTCTCACAGTACCTCTCTCCAACCGCATGTATAAAGGAGTTCCGGCGAACTTAATGCTAGCTGGCTGCTGGATAGCAACCCATTTAGGGTAGAGTAGATATACTAATAGCCGTTTCATGTCACAGGGCCGGGATGAGCTACGGCTTGATGAGCCACTTGGCCCGTATGCAGACTTCACGTTTACCTGAAGTGCGGTGTCTAAAGAGTTAACCCGCGCATTAAAAGCATCCCAGAAAGGTTTCCAGAAGGGTTTAACTTTCAAGCCACAAAAGGTGCAGAGAGGAGTAGTAGATATTTTCATCTTGAACTGAAATGAGCAGAATTTGTGAAAAGAGTCCATTATCCTGAGTAACAGTTCTGATCATCCTAGTCCTGTTACCAATTATCCAGTCAAACGGAATTGGGTATATGGTTGCCCAGTTTGAGGTATTGTCAGGAAAAACACTTGCAAATTTGGCTATGCTTGTTGCTATTATTGTTCTCGAGGACAGAAGCTTTCTTTTTTACTTCTTACAGTTTCCGGTACAGTTGAACCCTACTATTTCGAACTCTCAGTAGCCTACAAACGCAGTGTTTCCAACGAACGTAACTATTCCCCCACAAACTCATATTTTCGCCGAAGATGATGATGATGATCATCATCATCATCATCATAATTATAATCATAATCATAATCATAATCATAATCATTTAAATAATAATAATAATAATAATAATGATGATGATGACGATGATTACGAATCAGTATTTTAACAGGATGACCCGTCAGTGTATTAAGCGCTGTATCAAGGGTGTCTTGTAAAAGAAAAAAAGAAAAAAAACTATAGTGAAAATAAGGTAAAAAAGGCGTACAAAAGTAGTAAACATGTTCACTTGAGCATTTGTTAAATAGAAGTCTTGAAGTTATGGATCTAAGTTGGATTAGTTCATTAATAATCTTGACTCCTCCGCTGATGGAAGTTTTAGTTTGCTTTTACCAATATTTTCAAACTTCGTTGTTCAATGTTCTCAAGTTTATCAGACTTTTTTGGGTGTCTGACCAACCAAGACCAAGTGATCCGCAGTATGTAAAAATCGGCAAGATCATTGTTTTATAGATTGTCTCAGCACATTTTTGGTCGAGCGACGAACGGATTGACCTTGATAGGTTAGCTCTACCTGGTGCTTTCTTGTGAGTTCAATCAAAGTGTGATATGAGGCTTAAATTTGAGTCTAGGTCAACGCCCAACTGGCAAGTACTTGTAAACAAAGTTATTGTTGATACATGTCCCATTAACAGAGATATTGAGCTCATTTCCCTAAAGATTGATTCTTTTCGAAGTTCCAAAGAGCATAGCCTCAGTCTTTCCTTTTTAAACAAACTATCAGTTCGCTTTCTTTGAACCAACGACATAAGTTGTTTATGTTTAGGTTTCTTTGGATGGTGACAATGTCTTTGAAGGAGGTATAAATTACAGACGGTCATCTCTTCGAAAATTGCAGCGGTTTACGGATATCGTTAAAATGGATTGTGAACAGAACAGGCCTCAGGATACTCCCTGGGGTATGCCTGAAAAACTGTTTGAGCTTCTGACAATACTACTTTATATTGGACAGCTGTGTTCTACCAAAAAGATAATCAGTGAACCACTTTAGTTCTCTTCCGTGGATTTCGTAGAAAGAAAGTTTGTTCAAAAGTGACTGATGGTGTCGAACGCCTTGGATAAATCGATAGACACACAGCCTGTTAAATTACCGTTTTCAGCTCGTTTTCTGATCATCTCATCGAGTGGCGGATCCAGACCTTGAGCTACGAGGGGGCCCGGTTTTGTTTTACTTGCCCTGCCGGCTTTTCTTCCTTCTGTGATTTCTTCTTTTTTTACCCAAAATAGGGGGGCGGGCGGGTCCCCCAAGCCCCCCCTCCTAGATCCGCCACTATCATCGGTGAGTTATGTAACTGCTAACTCTGTAGAACGATTATGAAAGAAGCCATACTGAAAATGAGAGAGCAAACCATTCTGTTCCAGATGGGACAACTGTATACCATCGATGGAAGTATTGATATGGGGTTATAGCTATCAATTTCGGCCAGGGAACCAGATTTAAATAGCGGTATAACTTTAGCCACTTTCAAGTCCAGTCGGTATAGTTTCTGTTTTTAACGATAAGTTACTTACATGAGTTAGAGGATTCGCTATTGTACCAGCAGCATCTTTTAACATCCCAGGGTGGAAAATGGTCCAGATCAGTAGACTTTTTTCGTTAAAGACTTTTCAATCATGGGTCACCCGTGACAAAATGCCACGTAGATCGGGAACCAAAACTGTTAAAGTTCTCAAAAAAAGTAAGTTGGTCATTTTATTACACACGGTGCACAATCGAATGACCCAAGAATATTTGAATTCTCGTCCCAGATCCCGTAGTAGACCCTTTGCACGACCCGGTCACATGGTACAAAATCAGCCATCCAGCCCAGCTTGACTTTCCCTTGTTTTGGATCCAGCAAACTGGACAAGAGACAGGATCACAATGCGAGGAACTTTTAAGTTACCTCTTAGGCTGATCATAAACAGCGGCAACCTAAAAAAAAAGGAGATTTGCGACAAAATCGCTGCCGACTTCAATACAAAGTCCGATCAAGTCCAGTAAGGATGTCACAGGAACGCAGTGCGATTTCTGTTTAATTAAATTTCGCCTCAGAATAAATTCTTCGTGAACCCCAAGAGTCCGTCTGGAATTAATCGGCCGCAATGCAGGTTCCCC